CAGGAGTTTGAGACCAGCCTGGCCAACATGGCGAAACCCCATCCCTACTAAAAATACACAAATTAGCCGGGCATGGTGGTGGTCACCAGTAATCCCAGCTACTCTGGAGGCTCAGGCAGGAGAATCGCTTGAACCTGGGAGGTGGAGGCTGCAGTGAGCTGAGAACATGCCACTGGATTCCAGCCTGGGTGACAGAGTGATACTCCATCTCAAAATAAAGAAAGAAAAGAGAATGTGGAAGGGAACAGATTCCAGCATCACACTTTACTTGCCTTGCTGAAGTGTCTGTGTTCTATGTTAAATAAATCTCTTTTTCGTTTTCTTGGAGTTTCCTGAGGTCCCTACAGGATTCTATTTTATTTATTTATTTATTTATTTTTTATTTTTAACAGAAGACTTGGTTGTTGCAAAAGCTCTTTGCATGTTTTGATTCCCTTTCAGCGAGACCTCTATTTGGCAATGGAACTGAAGTTTCCTCACAGGCTTCGGTTACAGACAGGGTCTTACTCCATCCTGAGTCTCCTTTGGGAGCAGTTTTCTGAGAGTTGTGACTATGCAGACCCGGGGCTTGCATAAGGCCACTGAGACTCTGGATTCAGGAACGGAAATTTTCCTTTTAAAATTAGGTAGGGGAGTTTGGACCAAGATTTTTATTTGGATAGCCTAATTCTTGGAAATGCAGCTGGTGTCTCTAGGGATAGTCCAGAAAAACTTTCACGCCAAACTTCAGGCACAGATTCCTCGTGAGCCTTGATGGGGAGAGGTCTCCACACAAAGTGCTGTAACTGGGACTTCGGGAAACACAAAGGAGCTTTTTCATTCTGCACAGGCCAGGTTCCCACGCAGGTGACCCGATCAGTTTCCCCTGCAGACATCTCCAAGTCTGTGCTGTTGTGAGATTCTTCCTCAGGTCAAATCAAAATCTTCTCTGCTAATGTTTAAGATCATTTAGTTTTTACTGGAAAAGAGGGACAACTCTTTATCTTCTGCCTGATCTCCCTTTCTGAATGGAAAGACTGTAATCTAAGTCACTGTGAAATATTTTCTTTCCCAAGCAATTCTGTGAGCTTCTGTGATTGACATGGCGATAACCATAGGTGGGAAGAGTATTGAGAGGCGTTTAGAGTCTCCGGCAGGCTGACCACACACTCTGAGTTGTTAGAAGCTCTTTCCCAACTACACGTGTCATCTGGGCCGGGAGAGCCCGGGGAAAAATTCTGGGGCTTCAAGCCTGCTGTGCAGAGGGAGAAACTGAGGACCAGCTCCGAGCCTAGCCCAGCCCGGCCGGCAGGTCCTGTGGGTGGCGGGAAGTGAGGTGTCGCTTGGTATCTGGATTCTCTGGGGTCCACAGGCAGCTGGCATCACTCCTTGGTCAGCCTCCATTCTGTATGTGACCTGGCAGTATCAGTGGTGCTTTCTGGACAAAGAAGGTAACAAAGAGAGCTAGAGCTGTGTCATCAGCCTGGGCAGAAACGACGCCAGATGATTAGCAAAGGGCCTGCTTTGATCTTCATCATGGGAGGAGGAGGGTCTGATGAAGCAGGGTCAGCCTGCTTCTGGGCTGCTCCTGGTGGGGTGAGCCCGGTCCTGGGAGCTCAGGGGGACACTGTGAGCAGGACAGGTGCATCATTTGGGGAGCTTAGTGCAAAACAAAAATGCAGGGCCGCTTGTTCAAAACTCATGAAGAGTTCAAGACAGCAACAGCAGAGCCGTAAGCCGAGCGTGAGGCTTTCCTGAGAAAGGGCCTGTGCGCCTGCGTGGGAGCGAGGTGGGGGCATGGGTGACGCTCCCACCTGTGGACCGTCTCTCTCCACGCTCCGCACCCTCCCCGGGGAACCTCACGTATTCTTCTATTTGGAATCCTATGACCTGAAAATCAATGAAAACCTAAAATGCACCATCTGATCCCTCCTCCCATGTCCTCCAGCCATCAAGATGGCATTGCAATCATATTCCCTTCTCCGCCACCATTCACCACTGCTGGCTACAGCCTTGCTTCGAGCCCCAGGCCTCTCACTTGGGCTGTTCCCAGGCTTCCTAATGAGTCTCCCTGTCTCACCGGACCCTAATATTCATCCCCTAACAGCTGCCAGCGGGCTCCCCATCTGCCTCCTGCACACGTGTGACCCACGCTGTCCACTGCCCTCGGGGTGGAGCGCAGGCTCTGCAGGATGGCAGTGCGTGGGCCTCTGTACCCGGAACGCCCACCTCCCCACCGTCCTCACCAGCATCTCCTCCCGGAGCACACTGGGCTGCCCCAGGCACCCACTCCACACGCGCTCTCCAACGGCCACTGAGCAGTTTCCGCTTTAGACTTTCACTGTGAAGACGCTAGCAAGAGGGGCAAATGCTTCTGTGGGAGGAGGGTGGAAAAGAAACCCTCGTGGGACTGTAACCAGGTGGGTGCCTGGGTTACAGATGTGCAGATGGGGGGTTCTCCAGCCCAGCCGGAGGCTGGAGGTCAGGGGACGGAAAGTCAGCAGGGGCTTCCTAGGGGATTTGACGTCAGGGCCGAGGGCATGCAGATGGGTAGGAAGTGGTCGCTTAAGAGGAGCAGAAGGAAAGGACAGCTTCCCGCCCTCTGCCTTTTCCTGAGCTGTGCTTCAGCCGGCGACACCTCAACACTGCCTTGGCCTGGCTGCCCTGGAGACCAGGGGGTCGAGTCCCCTCTCTGTGGAGTATTTCCTGGTACCAACTCTGCCCCTCCCTGCACTGAGCCGCGGCGGGCACCTCCTCTTCTTGGCTCCAGGGCCCTCTCCCAGCCCTTGTGAGTGTCTCATCTCCATCTGTTCGCTGACCTCCCCCGTCCCGTGTGAGTCTTTCTCTCTTGGTGTTCCCTGAAGCCTTGCACACATGAGCACATGCCTGGTGCTCACAGCATTGCAGAAGGTGAGTATGCCTTGGGCCAGTCGCTTTATTCTTACCAGTGCAGGATTATTCAGAGCAGAGAGGAGTAGCCCTGGCCACGGGCACTGGTTCCATCTTCAAGGAGGACTCTGAGAAGCTGACATGTGTCCTGAGCTGAGCTGACCCTGGGGAATAAGGGAAAACCCTTACCCATGATAGGCAAGAACTTCCGGACAGAGCCTGGAGAGGAGAGAAGGCCACGCGGGGCCTGAGGGTGCCTGCGGCTGCTGGAGGCAGCAATACCTGGGCACACAGAGGGGGCTGCTGCTCTCGACTCTCTCACCAACACAGAGAGAAAACAGAGGCCAGTGGGAACAGTTTTATAGAGGCATCTTTCAGCCCTGTCTAAGGAAAAGCTTTCTAGGGATAGGGATTTTCCAACCTTTGGGCGACTGGCCTTGAACTCCCTACAATGGTCACATGCAAGGTCTTGTGCACCTGCCATGGCTTAGGATGTCACCGCTCATAGGCCTCTCGTCCTGCCTGGGAAATTCGGCCAGATCGTCTCTATGAAGCTGTGCAAATTTAGGCATCTACATGCCTACATGTTGGTCTCAGTCTGACTCTCACCCAGCCTCAGGTCCTGCGGTGCCGCTGCTGTGCTGTCTTCACAGCTGCATCCCAGGAGCATGGCTATGCCGCCTCCAAGGATCCTTCACTGGACGGGCCCTCTGGCTCCTGGATCCCAACTGCAGCAGAACTGGGGTTGGGAGAACAGGGGCTTTTCTGGGATGCTCCACTGGAGGGCCGGGCCTCCAATCTCACCCATATTTCTATGGTCTGGAAAGACAGAGAATTTGTCAAAAGACGGTTTCCCATCTTCAAGGCATTATTTCCCTCCTTCTCCTTCCTTTACTCTTGGCTCGTCTCCAGAATCGAGAGGATCTGACTCCCTGAATCCTCCAAGGAGTCCGTATGCAGTCAGACTTCACTATGAAATCAGAATTGGGCTCAGACAAAGGACAGGTCTGGGCCAGGTTCCCAGCAGCCCTTGTGGACCTCGGAGCAGGGAGAGAGGCCGTGAACACACCTGGCCCTTATGGTGGATGCATGGGGCTGCCATGACAAAGCACCACAGACCAGATGCTTCAACCACAGAAAGGTCTCGTCCACAGTCATGGAAGCTGGACGTCCAAGGTCAAGGTGTTGGTGGAGTTGGTTCCTCCCAGAGGGCTGTGTGGACGGGCTGTCTTCTCCCTGTGTCTTCACTGTCTACCTTCTGGGCGTGTGTGTCCACATGTCCCACTCTGACAAGGACACTGGTCATTGGGTGAAGACCCACTCTCATGACCTCGTTTTAGCTTGATGACCCCCGTAAAGACTCTATCTCCAAATAAGGTCATGCTCTGAGGACCTGGTGGGTAGGACTCCAACATATGAGTTTTTGGAGGTAGGGGCACCATTCAACCATAATAGGGTCATGTGGCCTTTTCTGACTGTCCATCATCTGCACCCAAGATGTGAGTTTGGATGAGAAGCTGAGAAGCCTGTTACCTCCCAGCTACTCTGCAGCAATGAATAAGAAGTTTCGTGCAGCACTTCGGCCGCAGACAGATGCACCTGTGTGGGGCAGGCTGCGGATTGGGACCTCCTGTTGCAAAGATGTGGCCACTGCAGGATTTCCTCTTGTTTTCTGGGACTGCAGTGGCCCCAGCACCTGTGTGGGGCCCAGTGCTGTGCCAGAGGGGCAGTGAGACATCGTGTTTCACAGGGCAAGTGGGCGGTCCAGTAGCACTTGCTCTGCAGACACCTACACCCAGGCATGACGGGCCCTGTGGCTCCTGGATTTTCCTGGCATCCATCAATTCCTTTTCTTTTCTCTAGGTCCTCCTTGCCCAGGCAAATTCTGCCTGACAGCTGTTTCCTATTTCCAGGCCTTTCCTCCCAAGGTCTCTCTGGCACTCACCGCCTCTGTGAGCTCAGCGCCTTTCAGCCTCAGGCTTCTTGCTCTGAGAGCTCCTCTCTGGCACAGTGGAAAGGGTGTGAGCGTTGGGGCCGGTCAGACCCAGGGTCAAAGTCTGATTCACTAGATATATGGCCTTACGGAAGTTATTCAAAGTCTCAAGGTCTTAATCTTTTCTTCTCTAAAACAGGCCAAAACAAGCTACTGCGCCGACTGGTTCCGGGGATGAAAGGAACTGATGAGATGCTCGGCAGGTGCCTCCCGACAGCGCGCCCTGGCGAGGGTGAGCTGCTGCGGTGGGAGCCTTCGGACCGGAGTCTTCAGGCATGCAGCGGGCTGTAGGTGAGCCTGGCCTGGCTGGTGATGACGGGCGCTGGACTTCACCATGGGCCAGCAGGGCCACATGCTGTCACCCCTGGATGTTCAGCTCCCCCAGGACTGCAGGGCTGCCCCAAGAGGCCTGGGCCCACCTGATGCTCACCGTTCAGAAGTTCTCCTCCTCATGTGCTAAGAGCCTGGCTCCTTTCCCCTCCTGGGCAGTTCTACACTTGCTAGAAAGACATGAAAGACCTGAAGAAGGTGTTTAGGGCACCGTGTGTGGTTCCTTGTTATTATTCCCATAGGGACCTTCTCCTCTGATTATGGAAACCTGGCCATCGTTTCTGGGTCTGTTTCAAGCTTTCACTTCCCTGCACTTTGAGGAGGGTGCTTGTCCCACTCAGTATTCAGCACCCAGCCTGTCCCTGCTAGAAAGGGCCCAGAGGAGGCCTTTCCCAGGTACTTCCCTTTCTTGCCCAGTCCAGACCCCTGACAAGCTGTTGCTATGGAAACAATGACCAGAAAAGTAGGATGGTGAGGAGGCTGACACATGGTTCAGGCCAGACCTTTCTCAGAGGTGGTTTGGTTTGGTCTTATTGTATGTGGCTTTGTTTTTGGTGGAGAAACGCAACTCGTATTCCCCATTGCTACTGTTCCCCATGGAGCAGTCTCATCCCATACACGAGTTTTGATACGAGTTTTCTCTAGTGGAAGCCATGGGTCATTTTTAGCTGGCTGGTCCTGGGAGCCTTTGAACCGGCCCTTGGAATCTTTGAGGATAAACAGGAGCCGGCACGGCTGGGCTGAATTTGACTTAAAATTGGAAACACGGGAGTCAGAGGCGAGCTTTATATAGTCTGGGAGTGCAGAAGCCCCAAGACCTGATTTATGAGGGAGCTCAGTGAAAGCACATGGACGCCGAGGTAATATTTATAAATTCCTTCCCCCTAGGATGGATGGAATGTTTTGAGCTGCAGTCAGATAGCACCTTTTTGGGGGATGAAGACAGGTTGTTTATATTCGGTGATTCGATGACTGGAAGGAAAGGGAGATGCCAGCCAGGCAAGGCCTCTAAGTCTCTGCCACAGAGCGCAGGGTGGGAAGAGAGCTCGACCCTCAGGGCTGGATTCCTCTGGGGAACTCTGCATGCCCTTTGGGGTGGCTCCTTCCTCCTGCTCCAGCCCCCACGCCTCCCCTTGCCCATGTTCAACAGGCGAGCACCCACCCCTGGCAGCTAGAGTGACCACATTTTACCAACAAAAAAATTGATGTGACATCTGGGATCGGGACAGGGTTTTTGGAGGTGCTGACCAGGGTGGGAAGGAAGAAGGGAAGATAAAGGGAGATGGGGCGGAGGCTGAAGACAGGCCGGGTGTGCCCCCGGTAGCCCTGGATCCTGAGGCTGTCGTGTGAGAGGACACTCACGGCCATGGGTAAACTGTGTCAGAGTAGCTGATGCCACGCTGTGGAGGTCAGCAATGCTAGCCCAGTGAGACGCATCCACGCTGTGGGTTTGGTGTCTGCTGGTGAGGGCAGGGGATGCCCTGGGCATCACACTCCTTGAAGCAGAAGGGGCAGTGTCAGAATAGTCAGAGCCGTGTCCCCCTCCGGCCTGGCCTTCCTTACCCCACGTGGAAGGCTGGGAGGGGCAGAGCCATGGCACAGCAGGCTGCGTTCACTGTGGTGAGGGCTGGTGACCCAGCTTCAAAGAGATGGGATGACAGAAGATGTTACTGAATAATCGGGGCTGGGCAGTGGCACATGACTGTAATCCCAGCACTTTGGGAGGCTGAGGCAGGAGGATCACTTGAGGCCTGGAGTTTGGGCAAGACAGGGCAATGGAGAGACCTCATCTCTGCAATGTTTTTTTTTTTGTTTTAGTGGGTCCTGGTGGTACGCGTCAGTTCAAGCTAATCTACAAGTTCAGGTGGGATGATCCCTTGAGCTCGGGAGGTTGAGGCTGCAGTGAGCTGTCATTGCACGCCAGCCTGGGCGACAGAGCAAGATCCAATCTCAAAAAAAAAAAAAAAAAAAAATTTGAATTTGAACACCAAGCGGGAGGGGAAGGGTCATTCACCTTTGTCACAGGACCCACTTGGACCTCGCTGCCTCGGGCTTCTGTCTGTGGAAAGGAGACCCTTCCATTTACTACTCTGCTTCTGAGGACCCCTCTCAGGGAGGATATGAGGCTGCTGGCACTAAGCTGAGAGCAGGCAGGGTGTTTCCTCCACCCCAGCCAGTGCCTGCCCCAGCACGGGGAGCTCTTGATGAAAGGCTCCCAGAACCTGTGAAACCCAGGCCAGGTGGTTCCAGAATGACTGGTGTGTGGGGTTGCAAAAAGATCTGCTCTGGCAGAATCCCAGGGGGGCTGGGAGGAAAGCAAGTAGACCCTGTCGTGCCCGCTCAGCCCAGGCCTTGGCAGTGCCTAGGTCCCAGCCCTTGTAGGAGCTTCCTCAAGCCCGCACCTGGGAAGAGGGGCTTAGACGTGAAACCTCAGCCGTGTGCATGACAGTGGCTACAAAGACAGCTCATGCAGGGAGACCTTGGTTTCTCTCCCTCCTGCAGAATTTAGGAGGCATTCTATGAAAGGCGTTCAGGCCTGATATCCTGTTCCTTTTTGTTGGTAGTCAGCAGGCATGTGGGGGCTTCTGTCTGCCCCTCCTGCTCACAGCCCCCCACCCCCTGGAGAGGTGCTGCCTGATGACCTCTGGACACTGTCCAAAGTGTTCATGAGGCTTTTCCCAAATCTTCCCCAGGACCTGTCCAGTCATCCCCGACTCCTGAGAATGACAGGCAGGTCAGGGGTGGGGGAAGACTCGTTTAGCAAGCTAAGCCTTAGCATGCTCTGTTTCTTTTCCCCTGACAGGAGGACCTGCAGTTATACCTGCCCTGGGCCCATGGTCACCCCAGACCCCACCCTCCAGCACTCACACCTGCCCTGGGCCCGTGCTCACCCGAGACCCCACCCTCCAGTATCCCATCAGGAATCCAGCCCCAGAGCACCCGCTTTTGCTCTTTCTGCTCTCTTGTTCTCAAGCTATGGAGAGGGTGGCTGTCCTGGAGAGCCTTGCGGTATTAGAGCAGGAAGGAATCTTTAAAGTGATAGTGATAGTAGCTGTCATTTATTGAGCACCAACTTCATGCCAGGTGTATTAAGAATGTTGTTCCCGCTCCTTACAAGTGCTGGAGAGGCACGCTACCGTAATTACCACGGTGGAGGTGCAGGTTGGTGGTGGACATGTAGCTCACTGGTCGGAGCACAGACCCAGATCTGCCTCTTATCCCCTGGCAGGACCCAGGGCTGCTTTCTGAAGCCCTCTGTGTCTCCACTTCCTCGTTTGTAAGATGAGGAAGGTAATAATAGTGGCTGCCCCACAGGGAGGTGCCGAGTGTCTGTGCAGACCAAGTGCTTGCTGGTGCCCCAGCCCAGGCAGGCAGCACGAGGGTCCTGCCTCTCTGGAGGTCCTAGTGGTGCAGTGATGATGGCAAGGCAAAGCCGGGCTGGGGCCAAGCTCTGTGTTTGACAGAAGAGGAAACGTGGTGGTGGTGGTGGGGGTGTCAGGGAGAGAGGACTCATCCACTATGGCCTTTTCTGAGGAGCCGTGTCTAGTGCCCACCCTACAAAACGTACCTCCCTTTAGAACTGAAGGGATCTCTGGCAGGGACCCGTCGACCTTCTCTGGGTGTTGCCAGCCGCTTGCTGGGCTAGCACAGGACTAACGTCTCTGAACAGCTCCTGCATTTCGTGTGCCCGACGTGCCCCCCAGCCCCTCACCATCTTCTAGTGCCTGGCACTTCACAACCAGGAGCACAGGAAAAGAAAAGCAATCCGCAGGTTCCCTCTCAACGTGATGAACTCAGGTCTTTCAAGTCCTAGATGGACTTTTAACCGCTCTTCGCTACCAAAGTATCCTTTTTATTGGGAACAAATATTCAAGATTGCCCTCATCCAGACTTCTCTGCGAGGCTCCCACCAGTATAGGAATATACTACGTTTTCAAAAGCACAAGAATGGAGATTCCTGCTTTGTTTCAACCCTGAATTTAACAAGGATTGTTGCAGTGGGAACCAGGACAAAGGAAGTGAAATAACGACTATCTCATTTATTTCCCGGCAGTTCCCCTTCTCCCCACCCAAGCCTCCCTCCGTCCAGATGAATAGGAACAGGTTACAGCTGACCCGGTTTCACTCCCAGCCTCAGCAGTGAATCACGGTGGGTTGTCAGAGACAGACTGGGGCAAGCTGGAGCAGCGTGGAAGGCACTGCCGTTTTCAGGAGGCCTGACCTCTGTGGCCAGAGTTCCCATCAGCCCCACTCACTGCAGGCCAAGATGTCCCCCACCCTCCAGAATCCCACAGCGGAGAGAGCCTGCAGTCCAGGAGCCTTGGGAAATCCAGGCGTGGGCTGAGGGCTGCAGCCTGCCCTGGCCTGGGCATTGGGTGCCTGTTGGGGATCTTGCCTGGGTGCTCTAGGGGGTCCATCCTGGTGGCCACAGAGCCAGCACGACCTGCCCTTGTGTTTGTTCCTAAGGTCAGCTCTGCTTCTCCCGAGTGGGGAGGGTTTCACGGTCAGCTTGGAGTGGGAGTGTTCCATGTTGCTCAGATGGGCAGGCAGGGAGGTGGGCAGAAGAGCAGAGCGGAGCCTCAGGAAGAGGGAGGCAGAGAGGTGGGCTGAAGAAGCCGTGGTGCCTGGTGGAGGTGGGGATGGAGGAGGAGGCTGGAGGCCTGGGGTTCGTGCCCCACTGGCCGGGTGGCGCCGGCCTCACTTGGACACCAGCATGCGGACAAACTCCTCATAGTTCACCTGCCCGTCTCCATCGGCGTCTGCGGCCCGGATCATCTCGTCCACCTCCTCGTCACTCAGCTTCTCCCCCAGCCGTGTCATGATGTGCCGCAGCTCGGAGGCGCTGATGAAGCCGTTGCCATCCTTGTCGAACACGCGGAAGGCCTCGCGGATCTCCTCCTCGCTGTCCGTGTCCCTCATCTTCCTGGCCATCATGCGCAGGAACTCGGGGAAGTCCACGGTGCCGCTGCCGTCCTGGTCGATCTCCCTCATCATGTCCTGCAGCTCGGCCTCCGTGGGGTTCTGGCCCAGGGACCGCATGACCGTGCCCAGCTCACGGGTGGTGATGCAGCCGTCCCCATCCTTGTCGAACAGGGAGAAGGCCTCCTTGAATTCTGTGATCTGCTCCTCAGTCAGCTGGTTGGCCATGCCTGGAGTTGGGGCCGTGGGTGGCAGGAGCGGCCACCGCGTGGTCTCCCTCCCTCTGCTGCAGCCCTGCTGCCGTCCCAGCTCTAGGCGGCAAGTGGAGACCTGGGTGGCCGGCAGGCTGTCTCGCCCTGGCTTCAGTCGCTGGAGCTTAAGAAGCAGCAGAGTCCTCTCCCGTCATTGGCAGACACCCCTGCCCTGTGGTTGCCCGGGCCTGTCCTGTTTAGACAGGAGTCCGGGGCCTGTGAATTGAGCTGACGCCAGCACCTCTGTGCCTGCTTGCGCCCGGACTCAGCAGAGCCACAGGGGCCCTGGCAATCACACCTGCAGTCAGGGCGTGGTGGGCCAGCCTTGGAGCGATCCACGCCGGACTCTTTCCTCCTGAATTTCCCTCTCCCTTCTCCCTCCCATCCGCCCGGCTCCCACTCAGTAAACTCTAGTGCCCTTTCTTCCCTGGGCACTGGAGTGGAGGGTTTGCAGGATGAAAGGCAGATGGAAGAAACTTCCTTGCCTTTGGTTTGTATAGCCTTAGGCACCTCAGGGTTTTTGGAGGAGGAAGGTTTTTCTTATCTGCAGACTGGACATGAATTGGGAGGGGTTTCCTCCAACCCATTCACTCACCTGTCACTGATTTATTGAGTGCCTACTATGTGCAGCACCGCTCTGGAAGCTGGGAACACAGTGGGACCCCGAAGGCCACCCCTAGTCCTCATCAGGTTAACTGCAAGACTGCTAGTTAGCAGGTAAACTACTTGAGGAATGCAAACAAGGTAAGGAGGGATTGTTGATAAATGCTGACAGACATCCAAGGCGGTGATGGACAGGACCCCAGGGTCACCTTTCAGCCTGGCCAAGGACAGAGCCTCTGTGGAGAGGCACTCCAGGGTGACCCGAAGCTGGAGAGGAGGCCAGCTAGGCTGGAGTGGGCACAGTGGGGCCAGTGGCTGGAAGATGATCCATGGGGCTGCAGGCCCGGGAGGGAGGGGACGAGGCTGGGGAGGAGAGAAAAAGGAGGCCTTGCCAGGAAGTCCCACGTCATTCTCTGATCTGCGGTGCCCCAGGAGCTCTGCGAGGCGTGGAGCCTGTGCTGAGGAGAGGGCCTCTCAGGAGGGGACCGACTCGGGAGGGGGGACAGTGAGGTGTTCACAGCACAGACTCGGCTCCCATCCCCAGAGGCCCTAGGGACATGACCCCCAGAGAGGCAGGAGCAGCCGCGTCACCTGTGGGACTCCAGGAAATCCACACGGGGGGAGAAGCGTGGAGCCCACTCTATTTTTTGCTGGGTGTGTGGGGGCAGGGTGGGGGCCTGAACAGGAAAGAAGGTGTCCTTTTGAGGACCTAGGCTTGTCAAGGAGAGACTGTGGCAGGGCTTGGATATTCGTTTTCTCTCTGAATTTCCTTCTCTTCTCTATTCAAGTAGAGGCAACTGTGTCCTTCTGGTCTGGAGGGGTCCATGGTGGAAACTGAAGTCACCTGCAAGACCCCTTCCTGCCTGCCTGAAGGCTCCCATAGAGCCTGGGCCTGAGGGTTTGGGCAGGAGGAAGCAGGAAGGTGGAAGAATCCCTCCACCCCCATGGAATCTTTTCCTTAGAAGAGAAGTTTGTGGACTCCAGGGCGCAGGGCTCAGGGATGTGGCGGCCACAGGCAGCCTTGGCAAAGAGCCCTGCGGCCCAGGGATGGCGTGGAGGGAACCAGGTCATGGGCATCTTAGAAGCTACATGTGTGGGCAACGCTTCGGTGACCAGAGCCCACTATCCCCTCCCTCCCCTGCCCCAGAATGTTCGGCCTCGCCTGAGACCTCACACCCCAACAGCTCTAGAGGAGTGGGGAGATGGGTTGGCTAGGACTCCCTGGGGTAGAAGAGGGGCTGATCATAAAGTTTAGATTTAGAATAATGAGGCAGCATCTCCAGCTGCAGCCTGGGAGTGTGCCCTGGGCCCAGGTTACAGCTCTGTCCATGGGGGGCTGGGCGGGAGCATGGGTCTTGCTCCTGGGAGCTCCACCTCTCCTTGAATATTCTGTGGAATACAAGGTAAGCCCCTGAAAAGTTTAGCTAGGAATGAAGGTCCTTTTTTTATTTTGGGTGTTTTTTGGGGCTAATTCTGGGACATGGGGACCTTCTGTACCTTCTGAGATGGGCTCTTGATTGTACTCGTGTCTGATGCCTGAGCATTAGATTTCACATCCCAAAAGCACTTTAAAAATATTTGTCTCTGTTCTAGATCACCCGAATATCCAACAATAGCAGGTTCAGCTTTCATCCACACCAGGAAATAATACAGTTTTAAAATGAGGATGAGGATAGAGCTATGGAAAGGTATGCATGGAAAATGTTTAAAAAGCAGATAGAAAACTGTGTGTGTGATATGATTTCATGTATTTAAAATTTATATGTTTATATACATTCACAGAAGAAAAGCCTAGATAATCACATACCAAACTCTTAATAGTGGCTACTTGGGATAATAGGATTATAAGTACTTTTAATTGTCTTACAAATACAGTACCTTTGTCCATTTTAAATGTTTTACATTTGCCATATATCAATTCTATTATTAGGGGAAATGACTGAAGATTCAAAAACCATCCCTGATTAAAAAAAAAAAAATATTCCAGCCTGGGTGAGGTGGCTCATGCCTGTAATCCCAGCACTTTGGGAGGCCGAGGCAGGCAGATCAAGAGGTCAGGAGTTCAAGACCAGGCTAACCAACACAAAAATTAGCCAGGCATGGTGGCAGGCTAATCCCAGCTACTCAAGAGGCTGAGGCAGGAGAATCACTTGAACCTGGAAGGTGGAGGTTGCAGTAAGCCGAGATCACGCCACTGCACTCTAGCCTGGGCGACAGAGCGAGACTCTGTTTCAAAAAAAAAAAGAAAATTTATACCTTACTGAACTCCCAATCTTCTTTCTCTTTCTCTGAGGTTAGGTAATGCAGAGGGCCTGTAATATGGTCAGCTTTATATCTCTCAGATATGAGACTATGATGAGCATAGCTATTATGTATAGGAAAGCAGAATAATTAATAGCAGATAACCACAGCCCCTATTTGACTGCCAGAGTGACAATCAAGTGGAAAAGAGGCTATGAAGCATTTTTCTTCTACTCTCCCTGCCTGGGGGCTGGAGGGACAGCTTCATGAAAGAATACAGGGGCAGTCCCAGGAAGCAGGAGAACCAAGGGACCTGGGCATGTGGCCAACACCGTCTCCTGGAGACCCCAGGCTGGCATCAGGGGGAAACCCAGCTGAGACGGTGCCCTGATGGACAAGGACAGGAATACGTTCATACCTCCTGGCCACTTGACCAACGACCAGGATGACAGGCCAACAGTTACCTGTGGGTTTCTGGATCATGGGTCTGTGGCTCAAACATTAGCTTTTACCTAAGTGTCTTTCTCAAAAAAGGCACTTTGAAAGAGAACTTGGTGGCTGGTGAGGTGGCCCATAATCCCACCACTTTGGGAGGCGGAGAAAGGTGGATAACTTGAGGTCAGGAGTTCGAGAACAGCCTGGCCAACATGGTGAAACCTCATCTCTACTAAAAGTACAAATATTAGCTGGGCGTGGTGGCTGGCACTTGTAATCCCAGTTACTTGGGAGGCTGAGGCAGGAGAATCACTTGAACCAGGGAGGCAGAGGTTGCAGTGAGCTGAGATTGTGCCACTGCACTCCAGCCTGGGCGACAGTGAGACTCCGTCTCAAAAAAAAAAAGGACTCAGGATTTTAAACAGGGTTTCTTAGTACACAGTGACTCACAGAGGACTGCCTTATGATGGGCCAGATTGTTGCAACTCACTGGTTGGGAAACTGTGGCAGAGGGAATGTTCTTTATTTTATGTTTAACTCTTTCCCTGCAGCCTCTCACCCCAATATAGCAGCTCCTTTCTCTACAGAATAGACATGATTTTGGTCTCAGAATCCATTTAAACATTTAAAAATGATTAAGGACTCCAAAGAGCTTGTGTTTATGTGGAGGATATATATATATTTTACTGTGTTTGCAACTAAAACCGAGAAACATTGAAATATTTAAGTATATATTTATATATTTAGGTACTAGCCTTAATACCTGGGTGATAAAATAATCTGTACAACAAACCCCCATGGCACAAGTTTACCTGTGCAGCAAACCTGCACTTGTGCCCTGAAACTTAAAGAAAAACATCATTTTTAAATGAAAAATAACTTTTCCAAGACAAAGACTAGGCAGAAGAGTGGCATTTTTTTTTTTTTTTTTTTTTTTTTTTGAGATGGAGTTTCGCTCTTGTTACCCAGACTGGAGTGCAATGGCTCGATCTTGGCTCACCGCAAACTCCGCCTCCTGGGTTCAGGCAATTCTCCTGTCTCAGCCTCCTGAGTAGCTGGGATTACAGTCACACACAACCATGCCCAGCTAATTTTTGTATTTTTAGTGGAGACGGGGTTTCACCTTGTTGACCAGGATGGTCTCGATCTCTTGACCTTGTGATCCACCCGCCTCGGCCTCCCAAAGTGCTGGGATTACAGGCTTGAGCTACCGTGCCCGGCAAGAGTGGCATTTTATAAAACGGTTTTGCAAATATCTTTAATGCCTGGCTTTCCAGAAGCAAACCGCATCTGTGCTCACCCTGTGGTAAAATGCTTGCGAGTGTGTGATGATCCAGCTTCTCACAGGTGTGCAGCTGGGGAAGGAGGGAGCATCTGAATAGTCTTTTCAAACATTTGTGGATGTTGTTCTTTGATACTACATCACAATTTGACAACTGTTAGTTTCTGAAAGGTGAGTTGCCGTGTGGAATCTGAGACCACACCAGAGACCTTTTCATACTGCTAAATGAAAATTCAATGGTCTCTTGCACTTTGAACAGATCTTTTACCCATGCATGATTTCGTAACACCATGCACTGGTCACTTGGAAAATACTGGTTCACTGGTTGAACAATTACATATATAACATTAAAAAAAATCACATTCATTAGGCTAGATGTGATGGCTCATGCCTGTGATCTCAGCACTTTAGGAGGGTGAGCTGGGAGGATTGCTTGAATCCAGGAGTTCAAGACCAGCCTGGGCATCATAGTGAGCCCTCATCGCTGCAAAAAATTGAAAAATTAGCCAGGTGTGGTGGTGTTTGCCTGTAGTCCCGGCTACTTGGGAGGCTGAGGTAGGAGGAGGATTGCTTGAGTGTGAGAAAGAGATCAAGGCTGCAGTGAGCTGCGATCATGTCATTGAACTTCAGCCTGGGTGACAGAGTGAGACCCTGTCTCAAAAAAAAAAAAAAAAGACCACATTAATATCACCACCAATCTCATTAGAAAAGCTGCTAAGTATTGGAGAGGCTCAAATTCACAGTGACAAACACAAAATTTCAGAAATTCCAATTTTCATTCAGAAGCTCAAAAAAATTTAATGCCAACAAGTACTGTCAGTTGTTTCCCTTGAAGTGACAGGCTCAATTCAGTCTCACACGTCTGCCAAATACTAGATCTGAGTGATATGGTTTGTCC